TTTGTTGGGTGAGTCACCCAGCTCCCGTTTTCTTTGGGTGAACGCTGGGTGAGCGCCCGTTTTCTTTTGGCTGCCCATTCTCTGTGATTAAGTCTGGAGGGACTCATATATACTGATTTATATTGTAAAACACTAGTTTTACAGCTTTTTTCGATGGACCTTGGCTTGCAGGTTATTTGTACACTATAGTACAATGTATTTGGACCACAGTGTGGCCTTTATCCGGTTCGAGCACAACCAAAATGTTGAGAAATGGGATTACCAGTTAAGCTTAATTTTAAATTTAAATATAGGGAACACTTAGCTGATAAAAGACAGCAAATCGTCTACACACCCTCCTGCAGACCAGTTTTTGAATTGTTGTCAATATCATCTCTCAACGGGTGAAGAGATTATAATTGTAAGATTTTAAAATTACCCCTAGGGGGTGTTAGTCACATATTTCATTCACTGATGGCTGACAAACCTTACTTGTGGACTCAAAAGTCCGCACCTAACTGCCACTTAAGGTTGATTGCAAACCTTGTGACTCACGAACTGTGCAGTCCCCTGTACTAAAAAGAAATTCGTAACCTACCTGCCTTGTAGCGTGAGCTAAACGTGTTCTCACCCCCTTCGACCCGATATCGTGACTTGATAGAACTGAAGTGTCCTTGGATGTCCACGTCTTCCATAGTCCCTAGAATACACACACTGGGACACTATGTTTCCACAAGTTTGTCCCTTTTTTGTTCACAATGGTTATCACTAAAGAAGCGATCACACTTCTCCTTAAGTGTTTATTGTGTTTGTGAGACCTCTTGTTCACCACTAATGCACAGATCATTCTTTGTTGGTATCCTGGCGTCAGTGTCACTCTCAGTAGAGTCAAAAGTAATCTGAAGACGCCACAACGCCCCACGCCGTCACTGCCCCCAGCACAAAGGAAAAGCTTACCTAGTACTTTTGCTTCCTTGCCACTTCCTTCATGAATCAAAACAGAATGTTTGATTCTTGCTGTCTTAAGCATAGACAACAATATGCACTATCTTCACTATGGTAATATAGTGGGAGCAGGATTTTCCTTAATTGTCCTGCTAAGATAAGAGATGTACTGTCTCTTATTAAAATACACTCTGCAACACTGGACTGCAAGGAGCGGCGGTCGCTTGACCATACGTTGCATACTGGTACTGCATCTGGGATCAATTACTCACTGTAGCAGTAAACAAGATGCTTGCCCCTTCTGAGAGGGCTGGGCCCCTCAGGGCTGAAAGGGTTGAAAGGGGCTGATACCCCCCTCCTGGAGAAAATTTCTCCACACATGTAACAAGAACACAACAGAGGAACACGTAACAAGAACACAGGTAAGGAGGCAGAACAATGCATTTTGACACGTAACAAGAACACAACAGAGGAACACATAACAAGAACACAGGTGAGGAGGTAGAACACTACATTGAGACACGTAACAAGAACACAGGTGAGGAGGCAGAACAATACATTGAGGCACATAACAAGAACACAACAGAGGAACACGTAACAAGAACACAGGTGAGGAGGCAGAACACTACATTAAGACACGTAACAAGATCACCACAGGTGAACACCTAACAAGAGCACAGGTGAGCAAAAGTCACCCACTTGTCGTCACCAGAGTCGATTATTATTGCTTTAAAAATAAGGCAATGAAGCGTGATTTAATCCACGGAGAAGAGTAGCTCCAATGCACTGAATCAAGAGCTTTTCACCAGCGCCGAAAGCTGTACTAGTCGAGTTTTATACACGTACGGTTTAAAGTCACTAATATATTGGTATGGTTTATATTGCTTAAAAAGTAACAAGATTCCCATAATTCTATAACCATGGTGATAACTGGTATAAAATACCTACCCATGGAAAAAAACACAAAAGCAGTATAATGTGTTCCTTTATTAACAACGTTTCGCCCACACAGTGAGCTTTATCAAGTCACTAACAGATCTACCTGGGTGAATAGTACACGAGATTTTTATAGTGAGGCGAGTCAGGTTGAGAATGTTGGGTAGGTTGTGTTTGAGACGGACCTGTAAGGGACCTAGTCCTTGACCTGGACCAGGACCCTTAATAATAATAATAATATTCATGACTTAATAATAAAATAATATTAATAATAATAATTTTTATTTCTTCAAGTACATGTACAAGGTATACAGACCATAGTTGACATCAATGACATACTACTGTATAGAAAGTCCCTTGTTATGCTGAGCATTTCCCGCAGTGTCAGCCCTTCCTCCCTCCCACTGCCGCTCTTCCACCCCCTCTTAGCCCTCCCTCCCTCTCACTGCCGCTCTGCCACCCCCTCTTAGCCCTTCCTCCCTCTCACTGCTGCTCTGCCACCCCCTCATAACCCTTCCTCCCTCCCACTGCCGCCCTGCCACCCCCTCTTAGCCCTTCCTCCTCCTCCATCCCCTGCTGCTCTGCCACCCCCTCATAGCCCTTCCTCCCTCTCACTGCCGCTCTGCTGCCCCCCCCTCTTAGCCCTTCCCCCCTCTCACTGCTGCTCTGCCACCCCCTCATAGCCCTTCCTCCCTCTCACTGCCACTCTGCCACCCCTACCTCATCACGCATCCCCCCTCCTTGAAACTCCTAAATCACCCACCCCTTCCCCTCCACCCATATCTTCCCCCATCAGACCACTACCTGTCCATCACTACAACTACTACACCTTCTACCCTGTCTGCCACCACCATCCTCACTACTCCACCTTCCACTACCATACTGACTACCATACCCTCTATCTCTGTCACAAGATATATACACAGAGTTGTATATCTGGGCATACACCTTGACAGTTTATTTCCGACTTTAGTGATTAAAATAGACTTGACTAGTAATAACAATAATGATAATAATAATATATCTTTATCTACTGCAAGTGTATGTACATGGTATACAGGTGTAGCTGGCATCAATGAAAATGGTCGTAATGACGACTCTTCTGAGTAGTCAGTAAGTTTATTTAGGGACAGATACCCATAAGTACAAATATCACATATATATTAACCTTTGTATAATATCTAAAATACACAACGAAAAAAGTCAAAACTGCTTATTTCCATTAGGGCCTGTCCCACCCAGAACCCAGTCCCACCCAGAACCCAGTCCCACCCAGAACCCAGTCCCACCCAGAACCCTGTCCCACCCAGAACCCAGTCCCACCCAGAACCCAGTCCCACCCAGAACCAGTCCCACCCAGAACCCTGTCCCACCCAGAACCCAGTCCCACCCAGAACCCTGTCCCACCCAGAACCCAGTCCCACCCAGAACCCTGTCCCACCCAGAACCCAGTCCCACCAGAACCCTGTCCCACCCAGAAACCCAGTCCCACCCAGAACCCTGTCCCACCCAGAACCCAGTCCCACCCAGAACCCAGTCCCACCCAGAACCAAGTCCACCCAGAACCCAGTCCCACCCAGAACCCAGTCCCACCCAGAACCCCCCGTCCCACCCAGAACCCAGTCCCACCCAGAACCAAGTCCCACCCAGAACCCAGTCCCACCCAGAACCCAGTCCCACCCAGAACCCAGTCCCACCCAGAACCCAGTCCCACCCAGAACCAAGTCCCACCCAGAACCCAGTCCCACCCAGAACCCAGTCCCACCCAGAACCCAGTCCCACCCAGAACCCAGTCCACCCAGAACCCAGTCCCACCCAGAAACCCAGTCCCACCCAGAACCCAGTCCCACCCAGAACCCAGTCCCACCCAGAACCCAGTCCCACCCAGAACCAGTCCCACCCAGAACCCAGTCCCACCCAGAACCCTGTCCCACCCAGAACCTTGTCCCACCCAGAACCCAGTCCCACACAGAACCCAGTCCCACCCAGAACCAAGTCCCACCCAGAACCCAGTCCCACCCAGAACCAAGTCCCACCCAGAACCCAGTCCCACCCAGAACCCAGTCCCACCCAGAACCCAGTCCCACCCAGAACCAAGTCCCACCAGAACCCAGTCCCACCCAGAACCAAGTCCCACCCAGAACCCAGTCCCACCCAGAACCCAGTCCCACCCAGAACCCTGTCCCACCCAGAACCCAGTCCCACACAGAACCCAGTCCCACCCAGAACCCTGTCCCACCCAGAACCCTGTCCCACCCAGAACCCAGTCCCACCCAGAAACCCAGTCCCACCCAGAACCCAGTCCCACCCAGAACCCTGTCCCACCCAGAACCCTGTCCCACCCAGAACCCAGTCCCACCCAGAACCCAGTCCCACCCAGTAACCCAGTCCCACCCAGAACCCTGTCCCACCCAGAACCCAGTCCCACCCAGAACCCAGTCCCACCCAGAACCCAGTCCCACCCAGAACCCAGTCCCACCCAGAACCCTGTCCCACCCAGAACCCCGTCCCACCCAGAACCCAGTCCCACCCAGAACCCAGTCCCACCCAGAACCCGTCCCCACCTAGAACCCAGTCCACCCAGAACCCAGTCCCACCCAGAACCCAGTCCCACCCAGAACCCTGTCCCACCCAGAACCCTGTCCCACCCAGAACCCAGTCCCACCCAGAACCAGTCCCACCCAGAACCCAGTCCCACCCAGAACCCAGTCCCACCCAGAACCCTGTCCCACCCAGAACCCAGTCCCATCCAGAACCCAGTCCCACCCAGAAACCGGTCTCACCCTGTACCCCTGCCTCACCATGTACCTTTGCCTCACCCTGTACCCCTGCCTCACCATGTACCTTTGCCTCACCCTGTACCCTTGCCTCACCATGTACCTTTGCCTCACCCTGTACCCCTGCCTCACCATGTGCCTTTGCCTACCCTGTACCCTTGCCTTCACCATGTACCTTTGCCTCACCCTGTACCCTTGCTCACCATGTACCTTTGCCTCACCCTGTACCCTTGCCTCACCATGTACCTTTGCCTCACCCTGTACCCCTGCCTCACCATGTGCCTTTGCCTCACCCTGTACCCTTGCCTCACCATGTACCTTTGCCTCACCCTGTACCCTTGCCTCACCATGTACCCTTGCCTTAGCCGAGTACCATGGTCGAGGGGGGCCGCTGTCAGTGGATGACAAGCGGTGGGGAGCGCCGCTCCTCGCTGGCTACCTCAAGGCTGGACAAGAACTAGGCTACAGCATCATTGACGCCAACGGGCCAGAACAGATAGGTAAGCAAAAACTAAAGTCACGATTTTGTTTTTAAGATTCTTCTATATTTTGTTTATATTTATGATTTTGTGATCAAATCTGTAACTATTTTATACCTATTTTGTAGATATGATTCTCATTTGAAGTGGCATATAACCCCTGGATTTCAGAATTCATCTAGTGGCATATAACCCCTGGATTTCAGGAATCGTGTAGTGCCTAATATAAAATCTGATTTTCAGGATTCTCTGTAGCTGACATGACACAAGTTAATGGAGGCAGGTCTTCAGTGGCGCAGTCTTACCTCCGTCCTGCACTCGACCGAGGCAACCTACATATTGTCTCCAGAGCCCACGTCACACAGGTGGGTATTTTATAGTTTTCCTTTACAGAGACGATCCGAATGGTTGCCTAAATTTTCAATACTTTTCATGAAAATGAGATCAGTTATAAGGGTGTCTTTACCAAATTCATTTTCAGTAATAGAAACATACAGTGGGATCACATTAAACATGTCCTAACTGGAAGATATTCTAAACAACACGGATCCAAAACCTTGCCTAGAAAGAATTAACTCTGCGGCACTTGAGGTATACTCAAGGCACATTTCCCTAAGAAAAGAGAAGATGTGACCTAGAAAGGGAGAGACGCTTCCTCTAAAGGTGAAGGCGAAGAATCAAAGAGTTACTGAAAAGGGCCAAAATATTTCATACAGATACTGAAGTGTCAATATGATTCAGTGTTTAGTGAGCCTTAATCAGATTAAGTGTCGACAGTCTACATGAATTTTTAATGACCGAGACTCAAAACTTGGTTAATTCAAGAATTTCTGATATTATGCTGACATCACAGGACTTTGAAAAGCAATAAATGACATGTTCACTCACTTTGCCCCAGACCCAGACTCATGGAACTCCGTGTTCATTAAGAACTTCAAGAAACCCTATGCATGTGTTAAGTATTCTATGGAGAGGGACCATGGACACAGGGATTATCCCACAGTCATTAAAAGCAATAGACATAGGTCCACTCCACAGAGGAGGCAGTAAAGCAATTACAAAGAATTACAAACGATAGCACTAACGTCCCCCCCATTCCTCACAGAAGCTTGAAAGAGTTGTGAGAAGCAAGATCGCCAACCACTTGGATACCCATCAGTTGCCACAACCCACAGCAACATGGACTTAGAACAGCTCGCTCCTGCATCTCACATCGACTGGAAAACTATGGCATCATCTTGAATGCCCTGGAAGACAAACAAAATACTGAAGTTGTATACTTCGACAAATGTGATCATAGTGTAATAGCACACAAAATGCATAAGGGATTAACAGAAAAGTGGTTAGATGGATCTGTAACTTCCTAACAAATAGAACACTCCAATTAAACAAAGTAAAGTCTGAGGCAGCTACAGTGAAAACCTCTGTTCCACAAGGTACAGTGCTCGCTCCCATCCTATTCCTCATCCTCATATCTAACATAGACAGAGATGTAAACCACAGAACTGTGTCTTTTCTTTGCTAATGATACCAGAATTTGCATGAAAGTATCAACTATCGAGGACACTGCAAATTTTCAAGCGGACATTTGCCAAGTTATTAAATGTTCGTCAGACAACATTGTGTAGTTCAATGAAGACAAATTTTAATTATTCCACTATGGAAAACTCTGGGAAATAAAAACTGGATAGTAATATAAAACAAACACAAACCACATCATAGATCGAAAAACTAATGAGAAGGACCTTGGAGTTATGTCAGTGAATATCACTTTCAAAGACCACAACAATCTATTACATTTGTTAGGAAAATGGGATAAAGAGAACCTTCAGAATGGATGGATATTGAGAACCTTCAGAACTAGAGATGCCAGCTGATAATGATTCTCGTTACATCACTTGTTCTCTCTAGGCTGGAATATTGCAGGTGAAACTGCAGACCTGGAGAATATGCAAAGTACTTTCACTGCAAGTAAAAGTACAAAGAAGCACTAAGTTACTGGGAACGGTTGAAGTCCCTTGACCTGTACTCCTTGGAGTGAAGGCGAGAAAGATATGGGATAATATATACTTGTAAATCCGAGAGGGTCTAATCACAAATCTACATATTGAAATCACTCCCTAAGAAAGCACAAAGCTCGATAGGCAATGCAACTTTCCCTAATGAAAAGCAGAGTCGCCATGCATATGCCAAGAGACAACACAGTAAGTGTCAAGGGCCCAAGACTATTCATCTGCCTCCCAGCATACATAAGGGGGATTACTAATAGACCCCTGGCTCTCTTCAAGAAGGCGCTGGACAAGTACCTAAAGACAGTAACTGGCCAGCAGGGCTGTGGTCCATACATCAATTTGCATGCGGCCATCAGTAACAACCTCGTTGATCAGGATCTGATCTACCGAGAGACTTGGTCATGGATCGGGCCGCAGTTGCGTTGACGCTCGGAACTGTGGGGAATTAAGGCAGTTTGTGGGGGGGAGTCATGGCTGAGTCGGGTTAGTGGACCCTTGTTTCAATTGTAAATTCAGTCTGTGGCTGCCTCTCCACTTTAGGGTAACCTCAATCGATGGGGTAGTGACCTTATTCCTCACAGTAGGTAGTGTGATTGTGACCGGCAGCTGACATGGTAACCTTTGGTCGTGGGAGTGCCACCTCCACACATTTATACATCTGCGACTATCTGTGTGAGTTACGTAACTGCCTGCTCCAGTAAGTGAGACCCTTGCCTGCAGTGATCGTATGGTGTACGAATGTAGTTACTGTGGAAAGTTTGGTGTAAGGGGTGTTGTGTGTCTCACTGCTGAAGTATGACTGACCGCCGTCGGCTCAAACCCGTGGATACTCAAATTGGAAGGCTGGAGGTGCCTATGGCATTACTGTTTATGAAAAGTGTAACTACTGTCTTAAGCTAAAAAACTGTCTCTAACTTAACTTAAATATGTGTAGTAGTAATGTAGTAATTTAGTGTATAATTAGCCTAAGAGTTACAAGGCTAATTCTTAGAATTAAGTATATACAGGAATTAACACCTCTTTAGGCGTCGTTCCCCCCCTCCCCCCACCTGGGGTGGCCATAACGGTTCTGGAAACACCGTTATTTTCCACAGGAACATCCTCCATGTATACTCCACCCAAAACAATTCTTGAAAACCTGAAAAGCTATATTTTTCCGAAACAAAATTCTAGTACATAATAAACAGCAATGAAAAGCATTTTATCCAAGGCTGATGAACTGATTTCATCATCTTTATTTCGCTTCTACTCCTGTATTAAGCTGAGAAACCTACTGTGTAAGAGAAAATGTTTCAGTCAACAATGATGATTCCGAAGTGTTGCACATGTGTTTTCACTCTTCAACTTGTGGGTATTATATACCTTTTTCAACATCGAGTAAGAAACTCTTGGAAGAACTTCCTACAAAAGATTTGCTATGAAAGTATTATAGAAAGACTAGTGTAAAATTAGCTAGGTAGTATAGTAGGTGTGGAAAATATTTAATCTTCCGAAGCTATAGTGCCTAATAGGTGTTTAATGTGTCGATATGGGTCAAAAATGTATTTGAAAATGGAATAGAACGAACAGGGAAGCCCTGCGCCTGCGCTGATGGGCAGGGGAGAGGTCGAGATGGGGCATCAGGGAGCGGGAGTGTTTGGAATGGAGTTAAGAGGCTGGGAAAGCATGGGACCAAAAATTGGCGTTCACAGCAGCCTAAGGATTAATACAGGCCTCACTTCATAATAGGAAGTGTCGTAACTGTTCCTGGTGAAGAGTGAGGGAACGTGATTTACGGGACCACTGTAATGAAGTGGTAAAATTAGTGAATAATGGTGGATCCCAAATGGAGTGTGTTCAGGGGAAAATACCCGTGATTTAATCATCACTCATCGGTCTTAGATCTTAATGGAGTGACCTCTAATGTGCATAATATTTATGAGACATTAAATCGTCGTGTGAATTGTAACGTAATTGCTGATAATAACACTAAGTTAAGAGAATGTGTGAAGTGAAATAAGTCGCCTTGCTCCGAATGAACACGTTAGACCTCGTGGTTCCTGTTCAGAGGATAGTGAAGGTTTTATGGAGTCACGACTTCTAAACCGGGACCAACGAAGGGATACCTCGTCCTGCTGGAATAAGAACCGTGTCAGTGTAGCAGGATATCGAAATGAGATGGTGAATGGAGGAAATAAGAAGTATCAATCACCCACAGTTAAGTAAGATAAGATTTCGTTCGGATTTTTAACCCCGGAGGGTTTAGCCACCCAGGATAACCCAAGAAAGTCAGTGCGTCATCGAGGACTGTCTAACTTATTTCTATTGGGGTCCTTAATCTGTCCCCCAGGATGCGACCCACACCAGTCGACTAACACCCAGTACCTATTTGCTGCTAGGTGAACAGGACAATAGGTGTAAGGAAACGTGTCGGAATTTCCACCCGCCGGAAATCGAACCCAGGCCCTCCGTGTGTGAAGCGGGAGTTTTAGCCACCAGACCACCGGGCCACCCTTCTAGTTTATAGCAGACTATACTGGCCAGCTAGGTATGTTGTAATTGGATAGGTTGGGGTGATCCAGCTACATCAAGTGACCACCAGAGAATATCTGGTAAGTGGTGGATTATGTACAAGTTTGTTAGTTAAGACACATATGCAACAGTTAGGTATCTTTATTTCGAAACGTTTCGCCTACACAGTAGGCTCTTCATCGAGTACAGAAAATTGATAGAAGCAGAAGAGACTTGAAGACGATGTAATCAGTCCATCACCATTAAGTTTTGAGGTGGTCAGTCCCTCAGTCTGGAGAAGAGCATTGTTCCAAAGTTTGAAACAATATGGAGTTGAAGTGACAGGATGGAGCCTTATATAGCGCCAGGAGGTGAGACGTAGGTCACTAGTAGAACGCAGATACAGGTTCAGCAAGATTAACTTTGACAAAAGTCATAACTTTTTAACTCGGGTAAAGAACTCTTTTCGAATCGAATCGAATCGAGGACGACGAGAGTTGTCTAGTTATCAAGTTTAAGAGCATTTAGTGCTGATGTGTTCTTATGAAAGGAAGCTTCATATTTATTTTAATAAAAAATCCATGAAATAAATGGAGAATGCCTCTCCTGATCATTAGTCAGTATTTGACTTCTCTGGATTATTATAAGTTAAATCTCATAATACAGTTTTTATGGCCCCGTGACATCGTGTTGGCCTTCACATCATTGTGACAAATTTATGTGATGTATCTAAACCTAAATTAACCTTATTAAACTTTAATCTCTGATCACTCTTAATAAAAGAAAAGTTCGGATTAATTTGAACCTGTGTAGGTTCCACATTGACATTTACAATGAAGAAACTGGGAAAATTAAAGTACTGCATTGGCTGGGATAATTTGTGAGTTCCTTATTAGATAAGCTTCAAACCTCAACCCGATAACGTGATAATGCAGCTTCTGAGAGGCTTCAAACTTAGTATTAGTGTTTTTTTGGAATATTTATCTATGAGAGATGAACACAGACTGCCTTCTCGGTTAGGCTTAAATATTTTATGCTGTGTTTCTTGGTGGAAAGTTTGAATTTGTGTTGTGCTGTGTATGTTCTAATTTGTGTTGTGCTGTGTATGTTCTAATTTGTGTTGTGCTGTGTATGTTCTGGTTTGTGTTGTGCTGTGTATGTTCTAATTTGTGTTGTGCTGTGTATGTTCTAATTTGTGTTGTGCTGTGTATGTTCTAATTTGTGTTGTGCTGTGTATGTTCTGGTTTGTGTTGTGCTGTGTATGTTCTAATTTGTGTTGTGCTGTGTATGTTCTGGTTTGTGTTGTGCTGTGTATGTTCTAATTTGTGTTGTGCTGTGTATGTTCTAATTTGTGTTGTGCTGTGTATGTTCTAATTTGTGTTGTGCTGTGTATGTTCTAATTTGTGTTGTGCTGTGTATGTTCTGGTTTGTGTTGTGCTGTGTATGTTCTAATTTGTGTTGTGCTGTGTATGTTCTGGTTTGTGTTGTGCTGTGTATGTTCTGGTTTGTGTTGTGCTGTGTATGTTCTAATTTGTGTTGTGCTGTGTATGTTCTGGTTTGTGTTGTGCTGTGTATGTTCTGGTTTGTGTTGTGCTGTGTATGTTCTGGTTTGTGTTGTGCTGTGTATGTTCTAATTTGTGTTGTGCTGTGTATGTTCTGGTTTGTGTTGTGCTGTCTGTTATCTAATTTGTGTTGTGCTGTGTATGTTCTAATTTGTGTTTGTGCTGTGTATGTTCTGGTTTGTGTTGTGCTGTGTATGTTCTGGTTTGTGTTGTGCTGTCTGTTATCTAATTTGTGTTGTGCTGTGTATGTCGTAATTTGTGTTGTGCTGTGTATGTCGTAATTTGTGTTGTGCTGTGTATGTCGTAATTTGTGTTGTGCTGTGTATGTCGTAATTTGTGTTGTGCTGTGTATGTCGTAATTTGTGTTGTGCTGTGTATGTCGTAATTTGTGTTGTGCTGTGTATGTCGTAATTTGTGTTGTGCTGTGTATGTTCTAATTTGTGTTGTGCTGTGTATGTTCTGGTTTGTGTTTGTGCTGTGTATGTCGTAATTTGTGTTGTGCTGTGTATGTTCTGGTTTGTGTTGTGCTGTGTATGTTCTGGTTTGTGTTGTGCTGTGTATGTTCTGGTTTGTGTTGTGCTGTGTATGTTCTGGTTTGTGTTGTGTGTGTATGTTCTGGTTTGTGTTGTGCTGTGTATGTTCTGGTTTTTTGTTGTGCTGTGTATGTTCTGGTTTGTGTTGTGCTGTGTATGTTCTGGTTTGTGTTGTGCTGTGTATGTTCTAATTTGTGTTGTGCTGTGTATGTTCTAATTTGTGTTGTGCTGTGTATGTTCTTATTTTTCCTTTTTATTAAAGAAGTTGGTACATTAGCCTTCCTGTGATTACTTGTGGATGCCTGTTCTGACTCTCATAAATTATTCAACACTAACTACATTACAAATGTATGCCGCACTCTGCGCTATTCCTCTCTTGAACATTTAGGTAATGGAATCGGAATACATTTCTCTGATCGTGCATTGATCAAAATACACCTATAGTAGTTATTTCTGTGATTTTTTTTTATTCCAGATTCTGTTTGATGATGAGAAGCGAGCAGTTGGCGTTACATACGAGCACCTGGGCAAGGTCAGTCTTAGTCTATACATCTCACTATTCACATTTTTAGCCGATTAATTTCCAAGGGTAATTCTCCACACTACACCTCATCTCTTCTATTCATTTACTTCACCTGCTTTTATTTCATATTTGTTTTGCTCTGTTATATAGCGATATATTATATTAATACATAGTGACCCATACAGCGCCTGAGCGAATGGAAATGGGACGAAGATTCAGTAGCCCGTCACCTGTACCGTGTGTCGCAGTTACTCAGCGCTGATGTGCAGCTTCAACAAGACACCGTGTGTTGTAGTTACCCAGCACTGATGTGCAGCTTCAACAAGACACTGTGTGTTGTAGTTACCCAGCACTGATGTGCAGCTTCAACAAGACACCGTGTGTTGTAGTTACCCAGCACTGATGTGCAGCTTCAACAAGACACCGTGTGTTGTAGTTACCCGGCACTGATGTGCGGCTTCAACAAGACACCGTGTGTTGTAGTTACCCAGCACTGATGTGCAGCTTCAACAAGACACCGTGTGTTGTAGTTACCCAGCACTGATGTGCAGCTTCAACAAGACACCGTGTGTTGTAGTTACCCAGCACTGATGTGCAGCTTCAACAAGACACCGTGTGTTGTAGTTACCCAGCACTGATGTGCAGCTTCAACAAGACACTGTGTGTTGTAGTTACCCAGCACTGATGTGCAGCTTCAACAAGACACCGTGTGTTGTAGTTACCCAGCACTGATGTGCAGCTTCAACAAGACACTGTGTGTTGTAGTTACCCAGCACTGATGTGCAGCTTCAACAAGACACTGTGTGTTGTAGTTACCCAGCACTGATGTGCAGCTTCAACAAGACACCGTGTGTTGTAGTTACCGGCACTGATGTGCGGCTTCAACAAGACACCGTGTGTTGTAGTTACCCAGCACTGATGTGCAGCTTCAACAAGACACCGTGTGTGTTGTAGTTACCCAGCACTGATGTGCAGCTTCAACAAGACACCGTGTGTTGTAGTTACCCAGCACTGATGTGCAGCTTCAACAAGACACCGTGTGTTGTAGTTACCCAGCACTGATGTGCAGCTTCAACAAGACACTGTGTGTTGTAGTTACCCAGCACTGATGTGCAGCTTCAAAGACAACCGTGTGTTGTAGTTTACCCAGCACTGATCTGCAGCTTCAACAAGACACTGTGTGTTGTAGTTACCCAGCACTGATGTGCAGCTTCAACAAGACACCGTGTGTTGTAGTTACCCGGCACTGATGTGCGGCTTCAACAAGACACCGTGTGTTGTAGTTACCCAGCACTGATGTGCAGCTTCAACAAGACACCGTGTGTTGTAGTTACCCAGCACTGATGTGCAGCTTCAACAAGACACCGTGTGTTGTAGTTACCCAGCACTGATGTGCAGCTTCAACAAGACACCGTGTGTTGTAGTTACCCAGCATTGATGTGCAGCTTCAACAAGACACCATGTGTTTGTGGTTACCCAGTGCACTGACGTGCAGCTTCAACAAGACACCGTGTGTTGTAGTTACCAGCACTGATGTGCAGCTTCAACAAGACACCGTGTGTTGTGGTTACCCAGCACTGATGTGCAGCTTCAACAAGACACCGTGTGTTGTGGTTACCCAGCGCTGATGTGCAGCTTCAACAAGACACCGTGTGTTGTGGTTACCCAGCACTGATGTGCAGCTTCAAGAAGACCACCGTGTGTTGTAGTTACCCAGCACTGACGTGCAGCTTCAAGAAGACACCGTGTGTTGTAGTTACCCAGCACTGATGTGCAGCTTCAAGAAGACACCGTGTGTTGTAGTTGCCCAGCACTGATGTGCAGCTTCAACAAGACACCGTGTGTTGTAGTTACCCAGCACTGATGTGAAGCTTCAAGAAGACAGCGTGTGTTGTAGTTACCCAGCACTGATGTGCAGATTCAACAAGACACCGTGTGTTGTAGTTGCCCAGCACTGATGTGCAGCTTCAACAAGACACCGTGTGTTGTGGTTACCCAGCACTGATGTGCAGCTTCAACAAGACACTGTGTGTTGTGGTTACCCAGCATTGATGTGCAGCTTCAACAAGACACCGTGTGTTGTGGTTACCCAGCACTGATGTGCAGCTTCAAGAAGACACCGTGTGTTGTAGTTACCCAGCACTGATGTGCAGCTTCAACAAGACACCGGTGTGTTGTAGTTACCCAGCACTGACGTGCAGCTTCAACAAGACACCGTGTGTTGTAGTTACTCAGCGCTGATGTGCAGCTTCAACAAGACACCGTGTGTTGTGGTTACCCAGCACTGATGTGCAGCTTCAACAAGACACCGTGTTGTTGTGGTTACCCAGCACTGATGTGCAGCTTCAAGAAGACACCGTGTGTTGTAGTTACCCAGCACTGATGTGCAGCTTCAACAAGACACGTGTGTTGTAGTTACCCAGCACTGACGTGCAGCTTCAACAAGACACCGTGTGTTGTAGTTACCCAGCACTGATGTGGCAGCTTCAACAAGACACCGTGTTTTTGTTGTAGTTACCCAGCACTGATGTGCAGCTTCAACAAGACACCGTGTGTTGTGGTTACCCAGCATTGATGTGCAGCTTCAACAAGACCCGTGTGTTGTGGTTACCCAGCACTGATGTGCAGCTTCAACAAGACACCGTGTGTTGTAGTTACCCAGCACTGATGTGAAAGCTTCAACAAGACACCGTTTTGTTGTGGTTACCCAGCACTGATGTGCAGCTTCAACAAGACACCGTGTGTTGTAGTTACCCAGCACTGATGTGCAGCTTCAACAAGACACTGTGTGTTGTAGTTACCCAGCACTGAATGGCAGCTTCAACAAACACCGTGTGTTGTAGTTACCCGCACTGATTTTGCAGCTTCAACAAGACACCGGTGTTTGTAGTTACCCAGCTTTGATGTGCAGCTTCAAAAGACACCGTGTGTTGTAGTTACCCAGCACTGATGTGCAGCTTCAAAAAGACACCGTGTTTGTAGTTACCCAGCACTGATGTGCAGCTTCAACAAGACACCGTGTGTTGTAGTTACCCAGCACTGATGTGCAGCTTCAACAAGACACCGTGTGTTGTATTTTACCCAGCACTGATGTCAGCTTCAACAAGACACCGTGTGTTGTGGTACCCAGCACTGATGTCAGCTTCAAAAGACACCGTGTGTTGTAGTTACCCAGCACTGATTTTGCAGCTTCAACAAACACCGTGTGTTGTAGTTACCCAGCACTGATGTGCAGCTTCAACAAGACACCGGTGTTGTAGTTTACCCAGCACGATGTGCAGCTTCAACAAGACACCGTGTGTTGTAGTTACCCAGCACTGATGTGCAGCTTCAACAAGACCCGGGTGTGTTGTATTACCCAGCACTGATGTGCAGCTTCAACAAGACACCTCAGTAACAAAATATATTTGCTGAAAAGTTTTTAGAGCATTTCTTTATCAATTACCAAGCTTTATACTAACCTGGTCCATCATGGTCCAGCCTGGTCCATCCTGGTCCATTTTGGTTCAAGCCCAGCCTGGTGCAGCGGGGCCCAGCCTGGTCCAGCCTGGGCCTTGCAGCAATAGGAAAATTCTTAAAACCTTTTAAAAATTTAAATATTCAAGGTATACTGATTATAATCCTTTTTTTTAAGTCTCATTGGACAAGCGACCTTATTCAGCATACATCAGTTTGCAATGGAAAAATATCTTTTACTCTGAGAAATTTAATTAATTTCCAAGTGATCTATTTTGCAAATTTCTGCTGAGACTTTATCTCGTCCACTTGTATTTAGCACAGCTATATTACTTGTATTTAGCACAGCTATATTAACAAGATCTTTCATTGTGTTACAGCTCAGACTGGCAAATTAGTTTTTTCGGGCCCACTGCCCCTCGGACCTATTATTTGGTTTAAGTTAATTTAGCAGTTTTTTTTAGCACCTCATTTATATGATGTGGGGTGTAATTTAAAAACTCTGACACAAAAGTGTCCAGGGACTAGTTCCAAAAAATGGTAGCTAAACAAGTTATAGTGGTAATGACTGCTATTTATTTTTGATCTAGTCATAATGAGTTGCACCTTTGTAATCTTTTGAGTACTGTCCATACCAGTATCCATCCCATATTACCAAGATAACGGAAGCACCTAATGGGTCCATGAACAGTGTAGCCAGTTAATGGTAGCTAAGCTACCATTACTGTACCATCCGAGTACAGTTGTAATGATTTGTCTGCGTAATCTCTGATTTACCGCCCTCAAGATTAAGTATGGGAGCGAGTACCAAAGTCATTCAACGAAATCACTGGTCTTTGTGTTGCAGGTTCGCAAAGTGTTGGCACGGGGAGAAGTGATAGTGTCAGCAGGGGCTGTTGGTTCCCCTCACCTGCTGATGGTGTCAGGTATCGGGCCCCGGGTCAGCACCTCACTCAGCATGGGGGCAGTAATGCTCTAATACTGACGTGCTTTTTTATTTTATAGAAATTGTGATTTTTCTTATAAAGTGGCGAGTGTTGTCTCCCGACAAGCTGAATGTTTTCTCAGACAAGCTGAATGTTGTCTACATGCTGAATGTTTTCTCAGACAAGCTGAATGTTGTCTCAACAAGCTGAATGTTGTCTCAGACAAGCTGAATGTTGTCTCAGACAAGCTGAATGTTGTCTCAGACAAACTGAATGTTGTCTCAGACAAGCTGAATGTTGTCTCAACAAGCTGAATGTTGTCTCAGACAAGCTGAAGTTGTCTGAGACAAGCTGAATGTTTTCTCAGACAAGCTGAATGTTGTCTCAGACAAGCTGAATGTTGTCTCAGACAAGCTGAATGTTGTCTAAGACAAGCTGAATGTTGTCTCAGACAAGCTGAAAAGTTGTCTCAGACAAGCTGATGTTGTCTCAGACAAGCTGAATGTTGTCTCAACAAGCTGAATGTTGTCTCAGACAAGCTGAATGTTGTCTCAGACAAGCTGAATGTTGTCTCAGACAAGCCCGAATGTTGTCTCAGACAAGCTGAATGGGTTTTCTCAACAAAACTG